TCAAAGTTACGTGAGAGTGTCATGTGGGGTTATCCATGTTAAAAGATTTATATGTGCAACACTGTTGGAGAAGTTGGCTTAAAGGTAGCTGACTCTAACATCGCGGGTGCCCTAAGCAGCCCAACTGCTAATTGGTGTGCTAACTAGTTGTCATCGATGAGAACTCTCGTACGCTTTCAGCTATGTAAGGAAGTGAGGCAATCAAAATTCACTATCACGGCGAACCTTAACTAACGAATCACATGGGCTGCTTTCCGTATCTCGAATCTGGATGGTGAGAATTGGGATGACGCACAGGCACACGCAGCTCGATGGGCTGCTTTTCCGTATCGGGTGCTCTTTGTTTTATTTAAAAAAAAATCGTATGATTCCTCCCACTCTATTCGAAGTCACAGTCGCCGCCGTTGATGCTGCTTTGGAAGCGCGGGCGTGTGTCCCATTGCGATTCAGAATTCAGAGTGTTGGCTGGTTCTTCGTCGACGGTTCGCCGAAGGGAAAGGACCTTGGCCTTTTGGTTTGTGCTGCATGGTGTATCCACGCAGAGCCAGAGGGAGGCGGCCGCCGGAGCCGCACATTCCTTGCCACCCTCTTCCTTCCTTCCTTCGCAAATCATTATTCACTCCAAGCTTGAACCGTTGCATTATTATTATTTTTTTGATTTGATTAAACGAACCGTTGCATTATCATCGTGTTCGGGACTCGGGGGGTGGATGTGCTGGAGTCTGGAGATCCATGGTAGGATTGAAATATGCCATCAGATTCGGATGATGGTTTGCCTCCTGACAACCGTCCGTCACCCTTGTCCTCCGGGGATGTCTGATCGGTGTCGTTCGCAACGCAGCTGTCTCTTCTCCGGCACCGTTGACCCCTTCACTGTTGCCACTCTGCGCCAAGTGTCTGTCTGGCTGGCACTGGCAGGGCATGCGACGACGGTTCGGGACGCCGTGCCCTTGCATCGCATCGCACGCAGGGTTCCCTCCCCGCGAAAGCTGCTGGATTTGACCCTTGCGTCTCGGGTCTGGCGCGCCCAGAATCCAATGAGCATTGAGCTGCAGCTGTCGTCAGGTGGCTGACTCTGTAGTCTGTACCCGCGACCGCGAGGCTCCGGCCGAGCGCCAAATGTGTGTCGTTCGGGACGTTCGTTTGCTGCGTCGCTTCTTGCTTTCCCGGATTTTTAATTTTTAATGGAAGGCGCGCGATCGCTGGTTCCCAGTCCCAGGTTTGTTTGTGGGCCGCTGGCATGGCCTCTCGGCCATCTGGGCTCATCTTTCTGATGACGCTGACAATCACGTGTTGTTATGTTCTGGTGGGCTTCATCGCTTCTCATGCGGCGAATGCTGATTCACAATCACAAGGCTGTGTCTGTGTGTGGACTCCCCGAGAGAGAGAACCGTCTCATAATAACTGTTGGCTTCGCCAAGGAACCACTCAAACACACACGCCAATGCTCTTGACGAGAGGTAGAAGAAGCACAATAGACACACTATTTTCTGGCGACAAACTCGCCTGTATCTTGACTACATATTCACTGGACTTGGCTACTGAATACAAATACAGAGGAGCACGGGGGCTACTTATAGGCCATGGAGCTCGCCTCCATGCCAGCCTTCGCGCCATGATTCGTAGGACCCGCGTAGCAACACCGTGAGCCACTTGCTCATCCGGACAATGCGGCTTCCACCATGCAAATCGACGCCACGCACACCACACTACTCCAACTAGACTCGGTCTTAGCCATTGCATGCCATCCAGGAGGCACACACGACACTGCCATCCAAGAGACACACACGACTCGATCCTCACCCAAAAATAGCCAGACATGCACACCACCATGATGCGGCACACACACACATGCCACTACGTGTCGTGGATTATTTCTAACAATAACTTGGCTCACTTGGCCGCTCAGGGATCCCCAGGCCAGGCCGGACGTGAATGTCTTTCTCCCCTACCCTGATTGCCATTTGCCACGTCTTTGGTTACGGTGGCCGTCATTCCTCCCCCAGTGGACGGTGGCGCACAAAGGTGGCGCCCGCCCTAACTTGATGGCTTCGAGGAGCCCAGACGGCCAGACCGGAGTAGCGGGCTGCCGTCACCAAACACGCGTTCGTTTTGTCAAACCACACGTTCGGTCAATAAAAACAATAATGCTTCTGTGAGAGCATCCGTCCGGACGTGTCCGCGCTGGACGCATCATTCTGGACCTTCGCGGTGATCGGCCTAACATCAACAGGCTTGTGGCCTCTCGAAACATCTGTTACCCAACTCACCTCACTCACTCGCTCACTCCCGCACCCAGTCCTCGCTTCCTCCTCCCCTTCTGCACTCGTGCCCTGTGCGCTACCCCCCGACGCACGGCCATGTCTGCCTCCCTGACCGGTGGCAGCGCACTCCCCCCACCCCCGCGGCCCCTTCTCCTACCTCGATGGCAACCCTCCCCTCACCCCGGCGTCCTCACCCACCGAGAGCGCCCAACGCCTGCAGATCCGGTGGCCGTCTCCTCCACCCCGGCGAGATCCATGGATCACGAGCACGATCCATGGATCACGAGCACGATCCATGGAGGTGGAGCGGCGGTGTTGCAGGGGAGTGGGCGGCTCTCCCCCACCCTCGGCAGCCGGAATCGACCCGCCCTATGTTTCAAGTGTTTCAACTGTCATCAGACGTATGTTGCAATTGTTGTCTTTGGATATTTCAAAAGTAGATCGGGTGTTGCATCTCTCCTCCTCACCTTCTGTTGCATCGTCTCTCTCAGAGCCGGCAGGTCATCCATACGACGCCACGACCGGGTCTTTTCGAATCTGAGGTGACACCGCCCTTCCCCTCTTGTCGCTCGAGCGGCGCAGACCCCGCGTGCAGCACGAAACGCGCTCGGCGTTGCTTGGCACGGCAGGGGCCTGCGAAGGGGGGCACTGCGTGGGCTTGCAGAGAGGGAGCGCGCCTGAGATGGCAGGGCGGTGGCGGAATGGTGGTACGGAGGAGATAGGCAGCGGATGGAGACGCACGCACGTATGCTGGCGCTGTTTTTGTACACGGGTGCCGTTTTCTTAGGTGCATCCGGACACGTTCGGGTGCTGGGCGTTGAGGCTGGATTGGAGACAAAACTCTCCGCCGTTTGTAACCGTCAGCTGGCTACTGAAATGTTACGTTCCGAATCTGACTAAGCTTTTCCTCCCGGCGGAGAACGTTTCAGCCGGGATCATGTTCGTGTGGGCTTGGCGTAGGCCGGCCTGGTTGGTGTCCACGTGTCGTCGTCGTCTATCTCCCTGCAAGTCATGGTCTCATGGAGGAGGCTGCCGGGCTGAAGAATGGATCATGGCTGGGAATACAAAATTCGGTGTCTTTACAGGAGCAGAATCAAAATTCTCTTTCCACCAGATTCCTCCACGTACACTGCAGACCGACCTGGCATCGGCAAGGTCAGCTGAGATTCTGCGAATCATTTCATTTTATTTTTAATTTAAACGCTTCTTGCAGGTATTTGCCTTTCTTTGCCATCTGTGATATCTCTATTTACTAGAAACAAATAGCATCAGTACTTGGCTTGGTCGCCGTCTGGCTTCAGCTGGATCACCCACCAATACAGAGAGAGCAGAGGAACTGATATACGAGCAGCAGCCATAGGCTGGCACCATGAAGTTCAGCCGTCGGTGGTGAGCTGATCATTGAGTGGTTCATGTGCCCATCAAGTTAATCTCTCTCTTTCACTTTGAACTTTGCCCAAGAGATCGATTGATTCACGAGGAAAGCCTATCTGTTCTTTTCTGGGGGGCAATGCTTGCATACTGTATCCCAAGGAAGACAAGGGGATCAAGTTGCTTCTCTACACCTGCAGGAAATGTGAGTCTGTGACCATCAGATTCATCGATTGCCAATAATTACGGTCCCATTGCTAATTGCAGCCCAGTATTTACTCAAGGAATTTGGATTTTCTTACTCTCTCTCTCTCTCTTTCTGGAAGGTGCCGGTCAGCAACTGTGTGTACTAGAACGTGGTGGTGGACCACGCCACCGGCGAGGTCAATCTTCGGAGGACGTCGCCTCCGACACCATGGTGCCACCCTGCGTCCGCCTCGCCGTCTTCCTCCAGGCCACTGGCCAGTGTCGTGGTCGTTTCGGTTCTTCAGTCGGTTCGGAGCCCAGCAGAGATGGGCAGCTGAACACCACCACACCGCTGATGGATGGGTGGTGCAGGCGACGGCGACCCGGCGAGGGGCGAGGAAGGCATGACGCTCTTCTTCGTCTGCTCTGCATCCCCACCTCCACCTCCGAGCACAGATGGAGAGACTGACCTGACCTGCTGGTGTCTGAATATGCTGGTAGTGGCAGTGGATCAGAGAAACACTGCATCACACGACTTTTATGGTTACCTTCCGGAGTTCATGGGACCCAAGGAGGATAGACTGGGGGGTTTGAGATGAGCCTGGAGCAGATGTCTCAAAGCGACTACTACATCTCACTACCCTGGCAGATGCAAAGCAATCCGATTGTGGCTTAAGTCTGTATCGTTGCTTCTTACCCTGATGTGGTAGCTGCTAGAGTACTTTAAAGCAGGATGCCATTTGCTTGGGCATTATGGTAGGAGGCCCTTGAATAGTTCTACCAGAATTTGATTTTTTTTTAAAAAAAACTAACTAAAATTACAAATATGTACCCCAAGCTAGGCTTTCTACTGACTTAAAGCTATCGCTTCCTATGTTTTATGGTGCTTCATTATCCTGATTTTAGCACACATAGGTCAATACAGTGTTAGTAGAGATGAGTAAATTATGCCTCACGATGCTTCATGGCTGAAATGGCACTCATTTTGATCTGGCTTCACACTTTCCGTTTATTTAAATAGGTGCATTATCTACTTATTACACAGATGAGTAATCGGCCGTTGGGATTTGGTCGGCCGTTGGGATTTGGCTTCATAACGATTCGCTTTTGCTGCTTGCAGTCCTTTTATAACCTGGTTATTAGGCACTATATCAGTGTACACTTCATAGCAGTATAGAATCACTTCTCTTGCAGGTTTTCTACTTGCAGGCCCAGATATTCTTTAGAGAAACAAGAAACTGCTGCAAATTCATCAAGTGAGGAAGTTCTGGAAAAGAAACACGTGTAGCTGTCACTAAATTCGTACCAGGAGTCCAGGGGCTCACAAAGAGGCCTGCAACCTATTTACTTAGCCCCCATAAGCCCACCCTGATTACAGGTGTATGTTCATGTTCACGGCCACTAAACTTTCAAATTCACCAATAAAACATCACTTTTGATCAAATCCTGATAACATTCACCAGCCAGATCAATGCAAAAACAACAAGCATCCAATAGAATACTGAGTTCAAGCATAAATCATACATTATTTTATATCATAGAACATCTGAGCTAGTACATCCACTCTGTTTCTTACAAGAAACAGCGAATTCACAAGTTCGCACTAAATAAGAGTTTTGCACCTACATTTCCCCCTCCCGAGTCAATCAGCTAAACATATTTATACAGGCCAAAGAAAAGCAAACAAGAAGATATCGACACAACCCATGGCGTCAGGTCTATGGCTCCACCATGCCTGCAGGTCAAATGAATAACAGTTAAGAGTAATAACCACATAAAAAAGGTTTGCATGTATATGTTGAGGACAAAAGTGTTTGCTTACTTGTTATTTTCTTTTATCTCAGCCTCAAGCTCCTTAAGTAAACGTGAGTGTTCATCCAAGCCTTCAGAAATCTTATCGACCTTCATCAATAGTCGTTTATAAATGTTTTCCGGCTTCTCATTAACGTGACTTTTCTGTTCCATGATGCCTTTCAAAGGCTTATTCGAGGAGGGGGAACATGTGTGTCTCTGCAGGAGTATGATGAAAGGATTTGTTACAAAAAAATTGTGTGCATGAATAACCACATTTTGCAATGCATATTAAGCCTCCCTCTCTCTGCCCCCGGTTTCAGAATACAAAAGTCTGATTAAGTTTCATATATAGGAGCACCAGTAACGTTCATCCCTTCACACCCATCTAAGCACTTGCACATTCCGGTTAACCATTTGTGAACATTCAAGGCCTTATAATAATTTCTTCACATATGCCACTGCATCCCTCTATAGTTTAAGCAAAACAAGAGCTTCACAAAATCTTTCTTTAGTTTGCAATTCATCAAGGCAAAGCACTTGAATATTCTGAATGTTTAAGCTTTATAATCATGTATACATCGATGTCACCATCCATGAGCTATTTAAACAAGACAAGAGTTTCACAGTATATTTTTTAGTTCGCAATTGATCACAGGAAGACAAGGTAACCTGTAAAATCAAACCGCAGCGGCCATGCAGCTAGCCCAGCTTCCCACCCTCTACAATGGACCTGGGCAAACAGGGGCCAGTGGCCTTAGGCGTAGCCCAAATAGTCACAGTACTGCCCCAAATATCTATGGCCCAATCTTTTCTGCTATGGATGGACTCGCCCTAGCAATTCGCATAGCACGCCGAGGGCAACGAGTCGTGATACAGGCGGAGACCAGTACTTGCTGTCCCTGGATGTGCTAGACCTGTCCGTCTGTGTCTCTCCAGTCTCTGGTCGTCACTCACCTCTCAACAGTCAGTCTCACACTCTCGCAGAGCTGCCCCTTGCCTACCCGATCCCTCTCTGCGGGTGTGCGCTGTGCGTGTGTGGCTGCGCTGCTGGTGTGCGACCAGCCAGTGTGCATCTTTTGGCAGAGGTATATGCCGTCAGGAACTCAGTCCAGTGGCTGTGGTACGCGTGCAACACGAACCACGCGGAGCAGCAGCCAACACTCAGTAGGAGCACACAGTGTCAAGTTATTGATGCCTAGTGAATATTCCATTCACTCACAGGCCTCTATATATTTCAATTCAACTTAGAATCATTTGCACGAATTTGATCGAGTTACATAACTGTATTTGCACTGCATCATGTAGACTCAAGATTTGTACTAGAACCACAAAAAAGATTTTTTTTTTTTTTTGCAGACATTGACCTTAAAAATATATTTGCAGACCACATCCCTAATATATATATATTTTTGAAAAGTCTAACTTGTATGGTTAGGTTCAAGTTCACCTTGTTGTTGTTCATAAAAGAAACTATCATAGGAGAAACTAAAATTGAGATATCATCTAAATTACTTATTCACCGTTTAATTTTGTCATTATCCATGTATGACCTATTGTGAATGGTATGAACGGTTAGATAACGGCCCTAATCCTACAAATTGACCAGCTAAGCCACTATAGGCAAACCCAATCCTAACCCTAGAAGTAACACACCGGGGCTGCAGCCAAAGAGAAACACCAGAGTAGACGGATCTGAGGTGCAGTTAAATTGAACCAAAGAACTTTGACAATCAGTCAAATCGAATTCGAGCAAACCCAACTTGTATTAACCTAAGACAGCAGGTGGGCAATTCAGGTGATTGGGTCCAACAAAATTAGCATGCCCTCATCAATTCCACAGATCCGTAATCCCTGGGCCCCAATCCAACAACCCATGGCGTTCCATTCAGGTGAGACCGCCTAATTCGACAAACCCTAACCAGTCGAGGGAAGAGGAAGCAGGAGCTTCATTACCTCGGTGGGTACGGAGCTGCTGCTGAGGAATCGCCTTGCCAGAAGGCACCGCTCCGGCTCCAGGGGCTTCCGGAGCCGGAGCGAGCGGGCAGCGGACCGGAGCATGGCCGCCGACGCCATAGGGGAGGGACTAGGGAGCGGGGGGCAGCGGACCGGAAGCACGCCTCGACGAGTCGACGGGATCCCCTTATTTTTTTTTAATTTTTCGATTCGAGAGGGATCCGGATTCAGCGAGTTCGGGAAGGGACACCGCCCACGGCCTGGTATATATCTCGGCGAGCGCGGAGGGGCGGCGGGCCCTATGGGCTTGTTGGCGCAACTAAGTTGGGCTTTACACTTTTGGCCCATAGCGGGGGAAATAAGGATTTCTTCCACCTTCACGTGCGCTCTCGTCAGGCGAGGATTTCTTTCTTTCTTCCACGCGTGTTGACGTCGTGTGGTGGTCTAACAGACCGAACGCAAATTCCATCGTGGGCCGGGGTAAGGTCCACGCCGGGTGCATCGTTGCGGCCTGACCCCGGCCATTTTCGGCCCAGACCGAACAAGGCCTAATAAATGGTAAAGAGAAGAAATGCATCCATAAATGAACGTCAAAACAGATGGGCAGAGAATGATCGGTGGGACCATGCTGAAACAAACAGAAGACTTCAATTCTTCCAGAAATGATGAAATGACTATAATTACTATTTTAGAAATATAGTGCAGCCAAATGAAAAGGCTCGATTTCTTAAGAACGATTAGATAATTCTAAGGTTTTATATTTTAATATCCATGAGATAGCATACAATAAAACTACCATGTGAGGGAAAAACCATCTATAATAACCCGATAACAATACTCTCACCAGAAAAGACAGATGTCTCCTTTTTTGGTGATTAAATGCGGTTCTTGAGTGTGCAACCATATCTTAGAGGTACATTTTCACATAAGCACAACTACATAGTATGGGATTGATATCTGCATTTCTGGACAAAATTACGAACATTTTTAAATTTTAGTTTATTTATACTGTAACAGAACATGGTTATTTTTTTTTTGGAGAAACATTGTCAATTTGATTCGGTAAAATAAGTAGACACTACGTTTGATTTGGAAAGTAACGGTGCATTTAGCTATTGAGGAAAATTAATTGGTTTTAAGGGGTAACTAATGCAACAAGGAATTAATCATGTGTTTGGCTCTAGGGCGTTGGAATGGGTTGGACACTGGGACCCATTTTTTTTTTTGGAGTATTTGGTTCAGAGAGTAGTTGGTTAAGGTCATCCCACATAAAGAATATTCTCTCTAGATGCGGGCTCACCTTATCCCTCCAAAACGGAGAAACCAGGTGAACCCACTTTGTGTTCGTGATGACGACACACAGATGAGCGGGAACGATGGCAGCGTGATGCACAGAGAGGCGACAGCCGCGGCTGCACAACGCGTTGGAGCAGCGGCCATGGGCCGCACGTGTGTAGAGGAGCGTCAGATCACGTGGGAGTGGCACGGACGGCACATAGGCAACCGGCATGCTCATAGAATGATGTGTGGGCCTTGCTTGTCAAATGTTTATCCCTCTCAACCCATCACTACAACGAAACAAAAAAATTAGGATCGACCTGACCCCCAACCAAACAAGAAATCTGTCCATCCCATCCTTAGAAAATAGGGTTGGGTCCAACCCATCCCATCTAGTCCCAAAACCAAACACACACCATGCTACTCGTCAATTTACTACTACTATCATACTCCCTTCGTCCCGCAAAGCCAAAGAATGTCATTCTCACATACTAGAAGAGTTAAACAATATCAACTTTGACCAAATAATACAAGAGGTTATTAATATTTATGGTGTGTGATAGGTATCATTAGATTACTCGTTGGATATGTTTTCATAATATAAGCTTATTTGGAGCTATAAATGTTGCTACTATTTTCTACAAATCTAGTCATTTTTTTAAATGACCTGCACATGATCCTAGACGACCCTTTTTTGGGATGGAGAGAGTAGCTAACAACGTTAAATAAGAAAACACACATATAATAGTTAATTCTAATTATGACAATAACGTGCCTCCAAAACCAAACAGAGAACATGATCCAACTTCATTTGCTACATATATGAAGAAAAGGATGTTCCCTAAGTTCCATGAAAAACTTGATGTTTTAGGATTTTTAAGACAAGTTAGTGTTCAATTAAAATTACCCATATACTTCAATTAAGGAATAATCTGCTAATTAAAAGGAATGCATGAAGACATGCAAACCATAATTTCAAGCTAATATGAGCCCAACCTAGTTTCAAGAGCTAAGACATCAGTTTTGGGACAAAATTTTGAATCCTAAATCATTAAAATTTTATGGGATTGGAGGAAGTAGTTGCATTGTCAAACACACACTACGAGAGGTAATGTCTACCTTTTGCTCTGCATTGATGAGAAGCACACGACGACGCCCAAAGTTTGATGGGGCTTCTAGAACTTAAGCATGGGCCTGTTGGGCTGTGGCTGAAAGCGGCTGCAGATTTGTGAGGAGTTGGCCCACGGCAGCAGCAGAAGCAACTTTCGGTTGCAGCCGAACCAGTGATGTCCACCGATCAACAAAGGCCACGTATGTCCAGGGTGTCGAGAAACTGCACTCTCACTTTTCATAAATGAGCAAGGAACATTAGAGACTTTTAAATATCTTGTAAGTTTTCATGTAGATGCTACAAACAAAGGAAAACCCTTTCTGATTGGACCTGGCATCATGAATTTTAGTTTTGAAATAAACGTTGAATCCGAGACACAATTTTGGCTAAACTGTTTTAGCCCCAAAAATGATTTTCTAGGATCCTTGAAAAACCATCCAAAAATCGTGGTTTTTAAATTAGTATTCTATCGCGTAATCTTCCAACATATTTACTACTGCTACAGTTAAATCCAATGTTCCTTCACAAAACACATGCTAAAATAATGCTTTAATTTGAAATTAAATACAAAAGCATTTAATAACCAAGCTCAAAACTTTCATGGATGCTAAAGATGATGCATGTATGCAAATCATTTTATATGGGTAAAAAGCACAGAATATCCCCCGGTGAAGCGAAACTGCAAGTATATATATTCAAAATCTCGCATGATGCAAGAACAACCAGCCCAGCTCCATATATATACCGTAGCAGTAGTACACTGACAATAATTGTACAATTAATTAATCGCACCAGCGCAAATATATGGAGCGTGTTCGGCTGGCTTAAAGCCAGCCGGCTGGCTTGTTTTTCCTCTCACAGAATCACTGTTCACGTCCTGCCAGAACAGTATTTTTCTCTCACAACAATCAGCCGGAACAGCATTTTTCAGTCCTGCCGAACAGGCTCATGGTCACCAGTACAATGCTCTCTAGATACACAGTGTGTTTAAGCCTTGTCTGCACCGGTATAGCTAGATGCACTCTCAAATTAAACACATGGACGTCTAATCTAATGGCTCCCAGTCATCTTCTTGGCCGGCCTCTTTATCACTCCCACCAGAAAAATATTGCTTCACGCAAAAGACAACGCCGACGAAGATAGGTACACGCACCAACACTCGTTTTAATCTAGAGAAGAGACAAATAAAAACCATGCAAACATATATATACATCATCAGTGAATTGAAAGTGGGAACCGAGATACATAGTAAAAACAATGTATCGATCTAGAAAAGTCAAAATGTCCTATGATTTAAAATAGAGATCTAGTGATATACACTATAATTTGAAAAGACAAATAAACGACGTATACATAGTGATATATACTTAAATTGCATACCTGTCATACTTGATCTTCTCTTTCTAGCAGATGTTTTAGCAAAAGGTGATGCGTATCAAATGAATTGCTTGCTTCGTCGAGTTTCATGGACATGCGGCCTGCTGCTGCCAACTGTAGGAACACACACGAAACAGTTTTCTTGTTAGTAGGATGTAGTTGTATATATTTTTTTTTTGCATGACCGGCCGTACGTAGCATTAACAAACATTTATATCTTATTACTATTATCTTATCAGAAAAAATAAAGAAAGAAAGAAATAAAGAACGATGCAACTATTATTAACCAAAATCTACTGTTCAGAACGATGACGGATAATAAATCAAAGTTGTGTAACTCCAGATTCGATCGGTAAATTAAGAAGCCGGAGATCGAGTACGGAGACACGACACGATCGACGTACGGCACCAATGTTAATTACCTCCTCCTTCGTGTTGACGCCGCCGCCGCTGTAGTGGCGGCGCGGGGTGATTATGGTCTCCCTCGGGGAAAACGGCTGCTCCTTGTTGGCGTCGAGGATGCGCCGGAATCTCGCCGCCGTTGGCCGGAGCGCACGGCAGGCAGCACCAGCAGATCGGAGCACCGCCGCTGCCGACATGCTAGTATGTAGCTATATATATCTTTTTGGTTGGTGTGGTTCGTCGTAGTCGTACCTATGTACGTATTTTCTTCCTTGCGCTTTTTGGAGCCGACGTAGAGCAAGCTTTGCGTTCGTCAATCAATGGACACAACATTTTATATAATGCACGGGGATGTATATGTATCGTGCCATACCCGTACGGACCCGACCCCATCGAAGTTGCTGACGTAATCGGATCCGGGATCCACACACTACTACAAAAAGCATTTGTAGGGGCGGCTGACGATAGTTTGTAGAGGCGGCTCGGCCAGCCGCCCCTACCATACCGATTTTTAGGGGCGGCTGGTGTTATTAGCCGCCCCTACAAATCGATTTGTAGGGGGTGGTTCAGTCTAGAACCGTCCCTACAGTACATTTTTTCATAAAAAAATTAAATTTACAATTCAATTTGACCCGAACATATATTTTTTATGCACAACTCCATCATGACTTATCTTCTTCTGCGATTGTACTGAAACTCAATGACAATACACATTTATTTATACCAGATTATAACAAATATTCTATGGCTTTTAGGTGGACAGTTTAGTCCAGATAAATGAAACAACAAATTTCATCTATTAAACTTTCCAGTAATCGTAATAACATTTGCAAATCAGTCATGATCTCTTTCCTATGTGGCAGGGATAATGGGCCTGCAATTTTGCAAAACAAAACTATTTCAGTGTAATGTCCTTAAGTTAATTTGTAATATGTCTACTTTCACAAAATTG